CGCCTTTGGATCCCCAAATGCAGGTGTGAAAAACTTGTTGCATCATTCCCAAAAAGACTCATGGCTGTATTAGCTCAAAAGGGTGCTTCTACTAAATACTGAGCAAAGGGTCTGAATACTTATGACCATGTGATATTTCAGTTTTTCTTTTTTAATAAATCTGCAAAAATGTCAAATTCTGTGTTTTTCTGTCAATATGGGGTGCTGTGTGTACATTAATGAGGAAAAAATGAACTTAAATGATTTTAGCATATGGCTGCAATATAACAAAGAGTGAAAAATTTAAGGGGGTCTGAATACTTTCCGTACCCACTGTATATATAAATACATGCTGAGCATGTCATAAACATGTTGTTTGTAAATCCAGGTTCATTCTTTTCACTTACTAAGCATGCTCAACGATGCAGGGCTTGTCATGGAAAGTTCCACACCTGCAAAAGACTGTTACACTGCCAATCAGCCAATAGGTGCTGGTACCGGGCCTTGCCAAGTGACAATAGCTGCATTGTGGGCTTGTAATGTTTGGTCCTTAACAGGAACATGTCGGATGATGGCTACACTGGAGGGCAAAAATTTAACAACTATACTCATTTCAGTTCAGTCACATAGTAGTTTGAAATCAAACTGAATACAGGGACAGGAGCAACACTGATGGACAGAAATATTACATATCTGGCCATTAATAAAAGGACTACATAATGGGCATCAGTGTGTGTGTGTGTGTGTGTGTGTCTGAGTATATTCATATGTCTGTTTCTACAGTTCTTGATCAACTATTATTGTGAAACAAAGTTAGTGTTTGGGAGTGTACCAGCTGCATATGTGGGTTACAGAGTTTCTCAGTCCTTGCTAAACCCTGTGGCCTTTTACCAGACTGATTAGAGTGTTGAAGCAGCTGGCAAACTCCACAGGGCATATAAAGCAAGGCTAGAGCTCTTCAGGTGTAGGTGGCACCCTTCACACATCTCAAAGGTATTGATACTTTGGGGTTTTAAGAATTTGATAATTTTATTTTCCTTTCATCTTTCCTTTTATTCCAAGTCATTGTTATTTTCTTTATTGTTTTTAAGTCATTAGTTATGTACTGTATATTGTAATATACATATTTTTAGTTAATCCTGTGATGTGCTTTGCTAACCTAAAATTTTGAAAGCGCTAAACAAATAAAGTGATTATTATTATTATTGTTACTAAGGGAGCTTTATGGTAGCAAAGTAAAGCAAACTGTATTTATATAGCACCTTTCTAAACAGCTGTTACAAAGGGCTGCACAGAGGATAAAAGGAGTTAAAAGAATTTAAATAGACATATAAAATATAAAACTAATCAGAAAGCCTCAGACTACACCAGCATCAAATGCCTAGTGCAAATAAATATGTTTTGAGGAGGACACAAAATGAAGCAAAGTTAGAGGCAGCTCTAATTCCAAGTGGTAGAATGTTCCAGGGTCTGGAAGCTGCCATTGCAAAAGCTCTATCACCCTAATGTTTTATTCTGGACCTAGGTACTGACTGGATGACCTATGTGTAGAAGACGTGAAATATACAGCGATTCAAGGTTAGGCTTTAAAAACAAAGAGCAATAACTTTAAAACAATCATTTGCTAAACGAAGCCAATGAAGTGACGACAAAATAGGGGTTATATGTTCATGTTTATGAGTAAGAAGACAAACAACAGCATTTTGTACTAAGCCTAGGCAATAAAGTCGGAGAGACCTCGAAATAGAGGGCATTGCATTAGTCAATATGCAAAATACGGGGTCATTACATCAAGGTCAAGGTCATCAGTGTGTGCACAGCCTGAACCATTAAATAGTACACATTCTCTTTTGACTTCATTAATGTGTAAGAAATTCTGTGACAGCCAGCTTTTAATACCACTCAGGCAGGCACAGAGGGACTGAACTGGATTTGTAACTAAATAAAAATAAATCATTAGACAAAGTGGTATAAGGACAGAACAGAAAACAGAAAGGCTAAAAGAAGAATATATTCTCAAAACAAATTAGAGCAAATAGATCTTGATTTCCATTCTTCTTCTGCTTCTTCTTTTCCAGTAGACATATGCTGTACAGGCAGTAGCAGAACAAGCCCACTGCACCTCCTATTTGTTTAATGCACCTCAGGATGAGCCACTTGAAGGGTGTTTGAGGTGTATGACCTGAATGCACTGCTGTTCACTGTAAACAAAGCAGTTAGAAAACAGAGCAGTTAATAAAAGACAGATTATGTAGCACTGAAGGTCAAAGCAGATCCATTTCACTGACTACCGCTGAATCCCGTACAGTGCAAGTATTTACAGTAAACATCATATGATTGTGGGCTCTTTTTTCCAACATCTTGTTTGTTTTTCTCAAGTGTTATTCAAGGCACACACCCATCCCAGATTCTATGTGTCACTGTCCTGCAAGCTCCAACAAGTCATGACAACCATAGTGATGCAATAGGTTCGCAAGAATGGGTGATTCAGACACACATGACATGAAATGTGTTTGTGGTCACATAGTCAAAGGTTTGTAAAGTCATGTAAATCTGTCTCCAGTATAGACATGTACACTGTAGGCTTCTTTTTTTTTTTGAAAAGCAAGTTTAGACCCTGATAGTATCTGCTGACCTTAGAGTTAAATCTTTACAAACTTTTTTGTAAAATTGACAAAGAAGTTGAAAGGTTACTTCACACAATATCATTACATACAGCATGTGGCCCAGTTTTTTTTTTTTTTTTTTTTTTGTTAGTCAGAAAAGGTATGAATAGTTCAACATTTTGGGAAATACTGTAGAAGTTAGATTGATACCACTCTCATGTCCATACAGTAAAAAATATTTATTGTAGCATGCTACTCTTACATCTTGTCATTAATTATGAAGCTAGAGCAAATAATCTGTTATCTTATTTAGCATAAACTGGGGAAAACTAACTTGGATCTATCCAAAGGTAACAAAACCCACCTGAAGGCACTTTTAAAGGTCACTGATTAACTCACTAATTTGGTTTTACATGTACAAATGGGCTATGTTTCCTTAGATTTCTAGCTAAGATATGCTAACCATCAGCTGGTTCCAGCTTCATATTTAATGGGTAGATACTAAAGTAACTGTCGCTCTTCTCATCTAAGTCTTGGCATGAAAGTAAATAATTCCCAAAATGTCATACAATTCCTACAATATATAACAATTAGATCTATCTAGGTCTAGTTTATGTATGTTTAGCTTAACAGAATGGTTTTTTTGTTGATAATGATTATTTTATTGACAGATTAACAGTCCTTGAAACTTTTTATTTGGCTGTAAATGAGTTTTCCAGTGCTGGTGGTTTCAGCTCCTGCATCATTCTGATGTGAAGTTTTCCTTCAGACTGACCTGTACCTTATATTGATTGTCTCAATAACGTGCAGTAACTGCTATGATAAGACTGTCCTCTTTTCTCTTGATGTTGATAAGGTCATTACTGAGTAACTGAGTAACCGGGCTGGGTGAATGTCATCATTAAACTTTAAAGCCCCAATAACATAGTTTGTTTGGTTTATGCATTACTGAGGGCAAAGGTTAAAACTACACCGACAACAATATGTACACACTCTTACTGTCGATTGTATGTGGGTGCATGAGGTACAGAAACCTGCCTTGTTAATTGTTATGACATTTGTTGTTGTTATTGTTCATGAAAGTAGTTTAATAAAGCCAGAGCCACGCTGACAGTCATCTGATGCTCTCAATGGAGTGAGACTAACAAGTCTGTGTAATTATTAAACACCACCTCTTAAAAAAGGACATGAACAACATGCTGCACTTTCTAAGAAAAGCAAACACAAGACTATAGTAACAAATTAGTGTGTTCTTTCATGTATTCACACCATCGAACAGGTTAAGTACAAATTATTAATGCAGTCAAGTGGTAATCTGGTATGCATGGTGGCCACTTAATACCAATCCAAAATTCATTAACCATTAGTAAAAATAAGTAGTTCCTATACAGCTATGAAGGTGAATACAATAGGGATAGCCGTTGTGTCAGTGACCACAATGCACCTGAGTAAGTGTGTACTGAATTGCATAAGAAGATGGGTAGACTTGAACTCGTCTAATCCTCTCACAGTCACAGTTTATCATGTTCTCAAGTTCATAGTGCCAATATCTTTATCACCAAGCACAGATAACAGTAAACACACAAAGACACAGCCAAACTAAACTAAAAGTGAGGACTGGTGCTAACTAGGAATCACTTTGATACACAACTGTGGAAAATGTAGTGCTACACTGGCAACAGAATCATATTCTATTGTTTCATGCTGTTACATCACTTCCCTTCCATATTACTTTTTTATGCATGTGGAACCCCCCACCTAATTACAAAGTTATTTTTCTACGCTTAGGCCAAGCACGAGCAACACATTCCACCAGGGGCAGATAAGCCTCTGTAGATAAAACTGGACCGGTTGATAAAATGGAAACTGCACTTTTCCAGCTTCTGTTTTGATTTCTGAGAAAAATACGTGAGGTCAGGATGACAGGATGTTAGCTGGTGGGTGAAACAGCACCACTTTAGATTTAAATGTAACTACAGAGACATGAAGTCATCAGAAGACTAGGTGGACATTCATTCAGTAGCTTGGCTCAGTTCATATCAAGATGACTGGAATTACTAGAGCCTAAATGTGAAATTAAAAATCAAACCCTGGGCCTGGGCCTCTTTCAGGATCTATTAAAGGGGGAGGTCTATGCCCTGGGACATACAGATGGAAGACTGTCATAACAGCCCCTGCTGTGTCACAGGTGGGACTCTGTTTTTATTAGTCCTCTGCACAGGAAAATTGGCTAATGTATTGCAAAACAATAGGGTTTATGTGTAAACAGTGGACACAGCTGTTTGGATGACTGGACTGGGATTGAGAGGGTGTCCAGTAAAAAAAAGATGTAATGACTGGGTTTGTGTTGTGAATGTGAATTAAGGGGGCATCAGTAGAGGAGTGGACAAGAATAATGGATTGTACACTGAGGATACACCTCGTCCCTGGAAGACACAGGGATAAATAAACACAAGAAATTCACAACAGTGTATTATTTAGAAGGAATATTTGACATTTTGGGAAATGTCCATTATAATAAACAAACAAGATATAACGTGTTTATTGATAAGTCAGGCTAGAAGTTTCCCCCGGTTTCAAGTCATTATGCTTAGATAAACTAACCCACTGCTGGAGCCATATGTTTAAATCACAGATCTGCTCAGTGGTACCGATGTTTTTGTCTACCTCTCTCAACTTTAAAGTAAATTACATTATTTATCAAATGCTAAACTACTTCTTAAAATATTTCTGAAGGGTGATACAGAGGCCAGATGGTGTTTTGGAAGGAGACTGTGTGTGTGCATGTGTGGAGGATGTTTTGACTCAGAGTTAAATATTCATTCATGTCCAAGGGAAGTTTACAGCTGATTAACTCAGAGTACTGCTCAAAGGTATAATTGCTACACCAAATCAGTGATGAATAGTTTGGGGAAAGTTGGACACAAACGTGGAGCACTGTGATACTGTGTGACCTACTTCACTATCTGAGATGTTGTTAATAGTGAAGAAATAGTTGGTGGCCCAGATAGCTCAGTTGTTAATGATTTTTCATCACCTTTATAGTGAGGATAAACAAACAGCACACTCTTTAAATATAGGTAATAGCCTATACAAGATCAATACTGCTGTAAACCAAAGATCACTCCTACACTGCCTCAAGACAAAATATTTCCTAGTAGGCTGTTGGGGCTACAGGTTGTGTTTTCTCATTCGTGTAGATCAATAATAAATAAGTGCAAGTGGACTTGAAACTGTTATGTCAACTCACTTAAACTTTTCAAAGCACTTTCAGAGTGAAAACCTCAATGCACGTTGTGTGTAATGCTTCGTTTCTGTAAATATCGCATCATATTTGACAAGCAGATCATATATCTTGTTAAAAAAATGATATGCTACAGAATTTAGTTTGATGTAGCCCATAGCCTAATATAGACTATTTTCATGTCTGGTACGCTTCTAGCACACACAGTTTTTTAAAAATTATTTTTAAACACCATTTTTATGTTACTCCGCTTAAATGACTGGTAAAATACAGCAACGAGAACTGAAAAACAGGGCCCTCCTTTAGACCTGAAGATGTGATGTGTCGTTTTTTATGTGTAGCACCTGAATGTACCACAGCTCCCGACTTAATGAGTAACTTGCATTTGTAATAAAATCGTTTCAGCATGACAGCTGCTGTGGAGATGCAGGGCGGGACTGAGACGAGGAGGACGAGTGGGACGTGACCTCTCCCATTGTTAATTGTTGTGAACGGATGTCAACGAGTGGCTTGTATATTCTGTTACGTCTGAGTGCCACGCCTTTACGACAACTCGTGCACTTAACGGCATGAGTAACTAGGCCTGTATGAACTTGTTAAGCTGTTGCTCTCGATGTCAGGCTAAGATTTTATAATCTCCAAGACAATATAACTACTTACTATAGTTAGACTACTAGAGTTAAATCATATATCACTGACAGGGATCTACTACTGCATAATAAGCAGGGGAGCTTTTACTTTTAGTGATAAAAAGTTTATACTTTTACCTAAAGCTATATAACTGCAGAACTTTTTCTGGTAAATGAATACCCTATCTTTACTTCGTGGTACTTTTAATTGAGTAGATGTGAATATTTATACCACTGGGTGGTACTGTAATATTTATACTGTCTTTCTAAAAGTGTAGGATCTTGCAGAAAGCCATATGGTTAAATTGTTGTGGATGTTTTATGTTTGTTTCTTATTTTCATATTTGGTATAATAATACAAACCATGAGAAATTACTTAATAATGACAGTAAGATATTTTTTTGCCTTAACTTCCATGTTTTTTTTCTGGCCTACGTGTAAACAAGCTGCAGAACAACTGTCTGGAGATTAGGCTCAAACGTGCATGTTTGCTCATAGTCTGGGTGACAGTGAGAGGCAAAGTTTAAACATGACTGTGCACATGGCTATGTTACTGACCCTGAATGCAGTTTGGTTGATTCTTATTTAAACAGAGAGCAGAAGCATGTTTTGGCTCAGTGGCAAAGAACAGAACAATTATAGTTTGGAGTAATGTTGAGTTTTAGGGTAGGACATAAGTAGGTCAGTCTATGAATGTATTAACATAAAAACTTACAGAGGCAGTTAGGAAATCTGTGACATCCAGAGGCAATATACTTGCATATACAGCAAATATTACAGTGTGGATTCTCTGTAGGATTAATGCTTGAAGCAATAAAAACAAACCAACAACTCAAGTTAACACTTAATAGTATAAAAACAGACAAGCTCCAGTTTCCTCTGACTGTGCAATTCAATGAAAACTGGTCAGACCAATTTCTGGTGTAGTTTTATCACCATTCCTATGAAATTTTGCCTGACATTGGAAAAACTGGCATTTGTAAAAATTCAAAACAAAGCACTTTATATGTGTAGCTAAGTTGTATTTTATCCTGGGGGATAGGCCTTTGAAAAATACCCCTAATCTGTTCTAGAGGATAAAAGGCTATGTGCAATAACTTGAAATTAGGAATAAATTGGAGAAGGAAATCAGAAATAGTGATGAAAAGGAAAAATATGTCTTTTGTCTCCCGTCGCTCAGTGTGTCTCTCAGTCATATGCTCAGCTGTTGTCTGACTACCAGGCTCTATGAGTGTAATATTTGCTGACCAGTCAGTCAGGGAGGGAAGAAAAAACATGGACGACAGGAAGGGAGCGCTGCAATCTAGGTCGTCAACCAGTAATCCAACCCTGTCTACCGTGCACACAGTTCAAAATGCTGAGCTCCCCCAAAACCTCTGTCCAGCAAAGCTCCTGTCTCATGACAGACCTCTGACAGTTTGTCTTTGACTACAATGTTCACATGCTTTGATGTCATCTGTGAAAAATGTCCTAGAATGACCTCCGATCACTCAATTTATGAAGTTATTTGTATCCTAACTCAGCTCAGGAGCGCTGCATAATGACTGAAATAAAGCCAAAACTCTTCTAAGTAGGCACATTTCCTTCAAATAACAGGAAATACACAATAAAACATATTTACCACCAGTTGCCCCTGGCAGCAGAGATTTTGGATGGTGGGAAGTTTGCACTGGTGTGCAAGGACAGTATCAACTTTTTAAAACTGAACAGGATAAGTATGGCTTCAAATGTGAATTGTTCACTCAGACTGGATTTTGAAAGTCCTTTAGCTTCCTCTTGGCCCAAAATATTTCACATAACCCTTGTACACTATTTATAGTTTTCCATACTACACATTTCCATGCCTGTTTATGAAGTTCATGTTTTGTTTTGACTGTGTGGGTCATTAATAACCACCCGTGCTGCCTGTATTTATAATTTCCCAATGACCTAACAGAAGGATGTGGTAATGTTTGTCTATTCATTCTCTATTACATGAACTGTGAATGTGCTTGCTGAGGGTCTGTACCCTTTGGAAAAAAGTCAGAACACTGTTGTGCAAGAAAAAAGTTAATGTACTGTATGGGTTTGTTTTATAATCACCAACCCTGGCCTTTGTACCCTCACTAAATCCTAATTGATATGGCTTGTACCCTGTGACTCCACCTGGTGTAGTTTGAATCTGCGTGATGCATTGTACTACACTGTTCATCCATCAGCCTTCACACTGAGGTAGAAGCAGTTTGACTCTCTGTGCTCCTTTCTTCCAAACAGCAGGGATACTTTCCTTACCAGCTTCACACATTTCCAGATAATTCTGATACTAATACCTCTAATCAGTGGGCTAGTTTCAGACAGATTAAGTAGCTATGGTTCAGACCAGACAATGTACCTTGAGCCTTAGATGTGCTGCAAACCAAAGAGCAAACAGATTTCATCTCCTACATATTTGCACAGCTCAATCTTGCCACTGTGGTCAGTCAACTCAATATTATTATCACCCTCTAAATAGGGTGACCGTGGTCTCAGGGAACAAGGTTCACATATAACACCCACGGCTAAATGGATGATTTGTAGATAGAGTGTGTTTCTTTAATCATAGGCTCATAAAATTCTTTAGACACACCACTAGTATGGTATATAGTGGAAATTAAATACTTTTGAGCATTGACATTGTTCAGAATCAAAACAAAAATTATATCAAACACCTTTAATTGTTTTGAGTTTGACACAAGGGACTGTGGTGACAATTATTGCATTTCAAGCTTCAAATTATTATGGAGCCAGATCATCCATCCATTATCTACACCGCTTATCCTGGAGAAGGCCACAGGGCGGCTGGAGCTAGTCCCAGCTGACACTGGGTAAGAGGCAGGGTACACCCTGGACAGGTCACCAGTCTATTACAGGGCTGGCTTGTAGACAAACAACCACATAAACTCCTACGAGCAATTTAGAGTCACCAGTCAACCTAAGCTACATGTCTTTGGATTGTGGATGGAAGCCAGAATACCTGGAGAAAACCCACAGAGGCACAGGGAGAACATGCAGACTTCATACAGAAAGGCAGTGGGTCGAGTCAGGCCAGGCTTGAACCCAGAACCTTCTTGCTGTGATGTAACATTGCTAACCACTGCTCCACCCATGGTGCCCGCAGTCAGATCATGCTGGGGAAGAAAAAAAAAAATATATATATATATAAACAACCTAGTGGCCATACTAGACAATGTTAATCTGTTGCACAAGATAATTTCATTCCATTGAGTTAAATGTCAGTAGAAAGCCACAGATAAAATACAACAAGAGACACACAAGGCCATATATGGGCCTTATGTGATTTGAATGTCTGGGCTTAAAGAATAAACTATCAAAACTCAGTTTCACTGAGTAACAAATATTTAATAGTGCAATTTGGAAATAGGAAAAACATTTCCACAAACAAAAACAGAAAGCATCATGGGTAAATGCTGGTGCAGAGTGAGTGATGTTTGGGCTGGTGAAATATGGAGCAGCTCTCTGGCTGTAGTGTAGACAGGGAATGAAGGCTCAGTGCACACATGCATCGTCTGGAAGGACTCAGCAGCTGCAGCAGCAGTAAATCCATGGTGTGTGCTGCCCCCTTTTGAGCAGATGGGGGAACTTCCACCTGAAGCCTGAAGGAGGAGAGGTTCCTCATGGTCCCAGCTGAAGCTTCTCTTTGTGCCGACTCCTCTATGTGTGGGCCAAGGCTGCTGCATGCTGGACAGAGGAGACAGTGGAGGTCCGACCATAGGGAGCATTCTTCTTCAGAAAGTACTGGTGAACTTCACCTTGCATTTGATCTGAACAGCTCTGCAGACTGCAGGTTCAGGGGAGCAGAGAGCTGAGCAGTGCTCCACTGCTCATTAGGTTGAAATTTAGGTTTGAAGGTCTGTGTTTAGCTGGTTCTTATTTGAGTCAAAATGAGCATCTTGCCAGGAGCATTCTGGAGGACGAAAGCGACCTTAGCCAGGTAGGTGGTGCTCTTCCTGCACAGCCTTCGCTGGTACTTAACTTCTCAGTTGGGTTTTGCATTTCATCTGTTGGAGAGTCAAGTCTGGTACAGAGTAGTTGTATTATAGCATCACTGAGGTGGTCAGCTGTCATGTCCTGCTGGGACAATAGGACATTAAACGGTGTGCAATGCAGCTTAATGGGCAACCTTTCCTGTGCAGATGAGCCATTACCAAAAGTTCATCAGCATATCTGAATGTACTGGAGCTTCTCTTTGTTATGTTTTGTTCCTGTAGATCCAGCTTTGAATAAGACAGCAGAGGTCCAACACTACACTACTAGTGGGAACATTTAGAAATGTATTTAAAATCAGTCAAATCAACTAAATCCCACGGGTTGCTATCATAACAGTTCTTCACCTTAGTTTGGTTTTGAGTCCTAATTTACAGTGACATACTACAGAAACAAATACACAAAACTGGCAGGTTATTAAAATGTAAATCAAAACTCCAAACTATGTTGGATAACATGTGACCACAAAAAACCCTACAAGGATTTTGTATAGCCAACACTGTGCCCAGTAATTTTAATTTACAATTAGATTTTTTTTATTATGATTGTCTGAAAAAAAATCAACATGAAATATGTATTTATGTCTACTTGATCAGCAAGAGATGCAAGTAAAATCCCTGAACATTTCAAATGTTTTCTTTTGGGGGTAAAGTGCATATAAACTCAGTACAGGTAGTGGTGGAAAAACTACTTAGATGTTTTTATTGACTCTTGTAAATTTCCCACCAGGGGCTAATAAAGTTGTACATGGTAGTTATTACATTTTATCTTTTAAATTCTGATTGTGAAAAGTAATTAGTACAATAAAAGTACAACATGCCTATAAAATGTAGTAAAGTTGATATAGTATGAAGTAAAAGAAGATGAAAATGCTTAAGTACAGATACATCAGAAGCGTACTAAGTACAGTACCTAAATAAACATAGTTAGTTACCTTCCACTAGTGAATATATACACTATTTTGCTCAATTGAAACAAGTCATCTAAAAATGAAAGTAATGTCTGTGACCAAACCAATGAATGATTTAACTAAAAACACATATAGTACTCACACTGAAGTTGTTTCCACAGTGGAGCAGCAGCCAGACTCCAGCTGATTCTTAACTACCTACAGGTGTGTGCTGATATTAATTCAATTTGTGACAGTGAGCAAGAGTTAACTTAAAAATGATAAAGTTTTATCCCATGATCATGATGTTTTTTCTCCTTAAAAACAATACACAGCTGAGTGGTAATCTATTCACATTCCATGCATCAATCATCATTGCTTTGAAGTCAACCCTATTAACCCACGTATTTGCATCAGTGATCCTCATTCAGATGGATGAACACATTAACTGTGCTGAATGCTTTATGCAAAAACAACATTGAGCCCTCAGATGGGGCCATGTCCAAACACTACAGCAGCTCGTTTCATTTGTCTTTGATTGAAGGTGTACTGCTAAACTGGGGTTTGTTCCAAGACACAGGTTTAGTGAGGTATCTGCATTACCACACCTGGAATGGCTCGGTCACGTTTGAGCAGGTTCCAGGTTTTGCTCACTGAAATTAGCATATAACACTTGGAACTGGCGTTTCACCTTTAGTTCAAACAAAAAGGCCAATATGACATAAAAATTAGAATAGAAATGGCACCAGACACTATCAGTCAGTCACTTGTGTTCAGGGGTTTTGATGTGTAGGCTAAAAAAAACTGAAATAATGCAATATTTTACTTTGGAATCACTGTTTGCCTAATGTAATTTAATATAAAACAACATCAGACAGTTGGCTCTGTCATGACAAAGTGGGATAGAAGTTTCTTGTTTCTGGTTACCTAATGAAAGATGCATTATTTTAAGATAGTAAATATAAAATACATCTAACACAAGTGCAGTAAACTATTACAAATACTGTATATTACATTTCAGTCATTTACTGTTATTACAGTACAATAGAAATGTTTGAAAAACATGCCAAGATATATTCATGTAGCGGTTATAAAATGAAACTGGCATTATTTTGAAAGACCAAAAATTCTCCAACAGTGTAAGCATGTTGATGGTGTGTTAATGAAACAGCTGTTTGATCCATTCACACAGTTAAAAGTGAGTGAAGCTTAGATGAGGTGAAAACCACTGGAATGTGATTGAAGACTCTTCTGGTTACATCCCAGTCAAAGACATTTTTTTGGTTGTAATCACCCTTTTAAAGTGTTACATTCCAGTGTTTGTCACCTCTTTTATTTTGACCTTTGCCTGTGAGAGTGATTTACTTGTTTGTGATGTGGCTCTGGGTTAATCTGCTAAATATTAATTATGTGTTCTTTAAATGATCTCTGTAATGTGTATTAAAGAAAGTACATATATTGCTTAATAAATTTTTAAAAACTGCCTGTAAGTGGTGGCTTACACTGAGCTTTGTGTTCTCCTGGATATTAAAATGAGCAGTATTAGACTGCATATAGAGCAGTGGTGGAACATTTAACTTTTTGCTCCACTACATTTTTTTTGATAACTTTAGTTGCTAGTTACTTTTTAGAATTAGATTGATTTAAAAAATACAGTATAATCATACATTTTTATTGATCCCCAGTCAGAAACTTACACGCTAATATGAAAACTGTTAATTGTTTTGTGTATCAAGAATCTACACAACACTATATATGACAACTGTAATGTGGAAACATGCTGATGTATCAATTCAAACCCCAAATCTCCAATATTCTTAATTTTTGTTTTAATAGTTATAAAAGAAAGAAAGACAAGAACAAGAAAAAAGAATCAACAATTGCAGCAGAGAACCAGTTCCATGTTTTCCCCTCATCCCCCAGTGATAGAGTGGAGGCAGGCACCCAGCCACACAACCAAACCACAGTAATACAACAAAGCATAACAATGATGGAGAGAAACTAACACAAAAAACTAATGTTAATTTTACAGTCCTTTTTAAATTAAAGAAATACTTTTGAACATTGAGTGATTTTTATGTTAGGAGGGAGTTTATAGAAACTGTGCTTCAGAACATAACTGGACTGATTGCCTTGAGCAGCAAACCTGTGCAGAAAAATACAAATGTTCAGTGCTGATGGTCAACTAGTTTGATTTCCACATGGGACAAAAAAAATACAGTGCACATACTGCAACCACTGCATTGTTTAATGTTTAGGGAGTAAATGGAGAATTCTTTTTCTAGTGTGAACAGTGAAGCAAATCAAACTCTCAGATCATCCAGATGGAATGGAAGTAGACTATTACTGGGATTCCTGGTTTGACCTCCAGCAGTAATGGCTCATGTTTAGGTTTACATCTTTACATAGGATGGAGAAGTCACAGTCAAAAACTTACAAATCAGCCTGCAGAGCCTTTGTTCACTAAATGTCTGTGGAAAGCATCACTGGTCCACTGGCCCCACCCCAATATTTACACCTCTTTAAGGGAACAAAAGACACCCATTAACCTGCAGTGCACACCCTCGAATGTCCTATTGTCCCAGCAGGACTTATATCCAGAGCTGACCACCTCAGGTCCACACCTGTGTTCAGTGATATTTTAGTAGAACTACCTTCTGTGTGAGACTTGGCTTTCCAACAAGCAAAATGCAGAACCCAACTGAGAAGTCTGGAGATCAGCTGTACCAGCGAGGGCTGATGGGGAAGAGCACCACCTACCTGGCTAAGATTGCTTTCGTTCTCCAAAATGCTCCTGGCAAGATGCTCACTTTTACTCAAGTAAGCACCAGCTAAACCAATTTCAGTCACTATGTTTAAAAAAATATGAAACACATCTTCAAACCTAATGTTTTCTAGTTGATGGATGAGCTGGCACCACTAATTTGTGAAGACAGGAAATCTGTGGAGAACAACATCAGAGTTTGTTTATCTACCAGCAAATGTTTTGCCAAGGTGAGTATTTCATTCAAATGTTTCAACATTATATGTATTTAAAGGGGAAAAAAACTCAGTCTGTATAAACTCTTCACTCAGTTGTGTTTGAGATATACCAGTTTGGTTTTAAAGTCTTCCACAGCACTGAATCTGCACTCCTTAAAGTTTTTAATTACTTATTTTTAACTACTGATTCAGGAGATTTTGCTGCTCTCTTGCTTTTAGATCTCTACAGTGCTTAATACTTTTACAAAATCGTTATCTCCTGCCTTGAACATTCCATAGGTGGTAGTGGTACTGCCTTGCAATGGCTTAGGTCACTATGTAGCTGATAGAAGTTTCTCTCTCTGTCTCCTCTGCTGTGCCTCTGTCCTATGCTGCCCCCCCAAGTTCCCATACTTGGTCATATTTTATTTTTGCTTTACATTCATCCATTAGGGTCCATCATTGGAAAACATGGAGTGTCCTTCTCCTCTTAGGTCTGCTGATCACTATTGGTTGCTCCTAAATCAAGGAAAAGTGTAGAGGTGACCGTGCCCTTTCGGTTGCAGCCCCTAAGCTATGAAATGAGTTGCCTTTAGTTTGGCCCCATCCATTCTTTTTTTATTGCTTTTAAGCCTAGTCTGATGGATGTGGCTGTTTCTTTTTGTGTCTTATGTTTGTAATCCACTTGGACTTTAACTCCTTTTTTATCCTATTTATTGCTTTTAAGTATAGTCAGAGGGTTGTATTACTGTGTACAGCACTTTGCTGAACAGATGTTCTTAAATGTGCTTTATAAATAAACTGATATTGACATTGGGTTGAATTTTCAGATTCCAGTCATTCCAGATTCAGTGGCAAGTAAGAAGAACTACTGGAAACTGGACTGCAGTCAGATCACAGAGAAGATGTTGCGTCGTCACTTCAAAGGAATCCTGCATTTCTTCCCTGAGTTGGCCTCCAGAGTGGAAATGAAGAACACAAGCAGAGCAGTGGAGCACTGCTCAGCTCTCTGCTCCCCTGAACCTGCAGTCTGCAGAGCTGTTCAGATCAAATGCAAGGTGAAGTTCACCAGTCCTTTCTCCATTGAATCCCTCCTGAAGAAGGATGCTCCCCATGCTCAGACCTCCAGAGTGTCTCCTCTGTCCAGCATGCAGCAGCCTTGGCCCACACATGGAGGAGTCGGCACAAAGAGGAGCTTCAGCTGGGACCATGAGAAGCCTCTCCTTCTTCAGGCTTCAGGTGGAAGTTCCCCCATCTGCTCAACAGGGGGCAGCACACACCATGGGCTCACTGCTGCTGCAGCTGCTGAGTCCTTCCAGACCATGCATGTGTGCACTGAGCCCTCATTCCCTGTCTACACTACAGCCAGAGCTGCTTCACATTTCATCAGCCCAAACAACAGTTACATCACTCACTCTGCACCAGCAGTTTCCCATGATGCTTTCCGTTTCTGGCTGTAATGTCTCCCTCACACCCCGTCTTTCTGGAGCACTTTATATCTTCAATAAAATGTTTAAAAAAATGATTTTTGTTGTCTTCAGGAAGAGTGCAAAATAGCATCGTTAAGACTATTATTGGGGTTCCCGCTCCCCCTGAAAAGAAGACCCTGAGGTCATTCAAATCTTTTCCCTGACATTTTCAGTTTTACACAACATTTGAAAACATGCCAAGTCATTGTAACAATATCAGTAATGAGAATTGGTTTGTTCTGCGACTACTAATCAAGAGGTTTGGACAAACTTTACCACCCTGTTCAATGGCAAACTGTGTCTAAACTTTAGAAAATGACTGGAATGTTGCCAAAGGGTTTTATTTAAGCTGTTGTCTCTGGCTCCATTTTTTTCTGGGCAGTGGAGTCCTGGACTGTAGTAAAGTGTATTTTGTTGTTGTTTTTTAATAAGTGCATTTGTTCCAGATAATTGAGAACAGTGGGGATACATTTGGAGCATTTTATTTAATTAAATTCTGTGATTAGACTGAAATGATTGTTCCCTGAAAGAGGTGGAAACATTGCAGTGGGCCACTGATGCTTCACACAGATCTTCAACTCTGTGAATTAGATTTCTTCTTGTGTATAAACAGATACAAATAACTGCATATGTGCAAATTTCCCATACAAGTGCATATAAACTGTTTAAATGTTTAGAGGCTGGCAGTTATATTACATTGTCTAAATGTCTTATCTGTTAACAGACACAAAAATGTAGACCTAAAATGTTGATTCTTCTGAGCTCAAATGAGTCAGAA